TTTGTGCACAGCTAGCCTTGTACTCTTCTAGGTTCAAAAAACTGTTGTCCATAAAATGCGTTGCACAAATTCGAACATCTGGGTTGTGCTGTTCTGTTGTAAATAAATCTTAACGTGAATCTTAAAATGATTCCTAATTGCATCTACTTTCGGAAGGCCAAATAAAGTGCTTTTGCTTTCGCACTGAAATACACAGCGTCTCCCTGACATGGCTGCATCAACACGACTGCTGTTCCTGAAACCACGCCTTCTTTCTTTGCGTGCACATTTGGGCGGCATTATGCTAATATTTCCACATAGTGAGGTAGATATGTGGGGGCGTGTTAGAACGAGCCGTTTTAGGTAGGCGTGGCTGACTCTTAACCTTTATAAAGAATATCTCTTTGGATTTGAGACTTTAGTTTTTGCAACTTTACAGATCTTCTTTATGCACCAAGAGCTTGTAACACTCCAAAGAGAAAGGAAAACTTGAAATCGCACCATATGACCACTTTAATGTTCCTCAGGCCTGTCTGTTTCTGTCTTTGAGTATTGCACGGCATAGCAAAATGTAATGTGGTCTCACTGCATATTTCGGTTTCCCTCCTATCTCTTTCTGTATGTGACCCTCATATCTCACATGCTTTCTGTGTTCTCTAGACACACGGCACTGCTATACTGGCAAATTCTGGATTAAAATATTTGTGATTTTAACCCCTGGTTACCTCTAACACACTCTTTCTCTCTCTCATAGATAGCTGTGATGACCATGACCCTGTTCCCTGTTCGTCTGCTCTTTGCTGCGTTCATGATGTTACTGGCCTGGCCCTTTGCATTCATGGCTACTGTTGGCCGTTCTGAGGATGCAGTTGAACCTCTATCCTGGTGGAGGTGGTGAGTAACACATCAGAAATGTTAATCAGATGTGAGAGTTTGGGAACTGCCACTGCACTTCTGCTCTTTGCATGATGAGGGTACGCCGCTAAAACAGACCTACAGAGCCGGTCAAAATGTGGTTTGCAGCAATAAAGCAACAGAAATTAATTTGATTTTAAATGACATGAGCTACAGCGATCGTTGGCATATTCAGATGAGTAGCCAATGCAAGTGCAGATGCTTGCGTGATCTGCTTCCTGATACTATTTGAAACTGCAATCTAGGTGCATCAACAACTACTAGCAAGGTGAACATCTGTTCCAAGCCCTATTGATCTTCCAGCATTGCTTGTATCCTTTTAGATACAGCTCTCTCAGAATGCTTTGCAGTGGACTTGGTGAAATTAATGATAGCATGAGTCAAGCACATCCATCTAGTTAAAAGTAATCTATATCATTCATTATCTGTGTGTATTTTAATATTAGGGTTGGGTATTTACACATATTTTACAAATCCGTTTGATTCCGATTCTTGATTCAATTATATTCCAATTTTATTTAGATTCAATATTGATTTATTTGGTTATACATCAGGTAAAGTGCATAGCAGTTTTTCTTAAGGAACACAATCTCATTTTACAAATCAGTTTGATTACAATTCTTGATTCAATTATATTCCAATTTTATTTCAATTCAATATTGATTTATTTGGTTATCAAAGTCCCTTTCAAGGAAAGTCTGTTCACTCGGCGACCATATTTGCAACGCCTCCAGGCAGTTCATCCAAGACCAAGTCCTATCTAAATGAATGGGGGAATCCTGAAATCTCAAAAACTGCCCTATGAACTCACAAATAAATGACATATTTCAAATCAGCAACAAAATCTGAAATGAACTGCCCCATGAATGTTGTTTCTTATGCTCAAATAGCGTTAAAAAAGCTTATTTTTCAGGCTAGAGCTAGACCAGCCAATGACTGCGTATGCTCATTGGCTGGTCTAGCCTTAGGTCTCTATGGGAACCGGAGCCGCTGCAGTGAAGCAATGACTTTACCAATCAGCGATTGGCACTTTCATTTAGAAGGCGGGACTATTCCACCATATTGCGTGGGTGCAGTTTCTCCCATTCATAACATAAGTATAGAAGTGAACCATCTTTGTATTTCTATAGTCTTTGTTGGTTATACATCAGGTAAAGTACATGTCAGTTTTTCTTAAGAAACACAATCTCACACAATGAATAATACAGGGAACCCTGTCAGTTGGTATATTACTATATCATTAAAGGTTAAAATTAACAACTTTAATTAACACATTTAATTGCTGAGTCCAAATTTAATTGCTATTTATTTTTTAGATATAATGATCAGCAATCAAATAAACATGTTGTATGCCAACATATATAAACTTTTTACTGATATAATTGTTTATACTTCAACTCATTCTTGAAATATAAATATTTACATGGTGGCTGTCAATAAAAACGTTTATAAATCTGTTTTCATGACAGATTCATTCAAACATACATGCTCATCTTTAGAGATATTTTTTCTAGCTAACTATCAAGTTATGGGCATTTCCATCGGTAATATGCTTGTGACATTGTTTACAAAGCTGTTTCATTGACATCTTTCTGCGGTTGAACATTTTAGTAACATTCTGAATGTCAAAACCACATTTATTACTTACATTTTGTAATAAAATCTCAAAAGATAAGATTTTGTTTTATATTAAAAGATTGATTTGTGGGATTTAAAAGCTGATATCAGTTCATCACAATGAATATTGATTGATTAATATTGTCAACCCCAGCCCTATTTATCAGAATGTTGAGTTGTTAGCTTAGAATCAAATTCTTTGGACCAAATGAGTGATTGAGTCTTTTCTCTTCATGTGGTGGTGAGCATTGTCACACGTGCAAGTGAGCATTACTACAGTTGCTGACTACATAGAACGTTTTAATTCAGTCACTTGTGAGGATCCATTAATTAGAAGTTAGTTTACTAGGCTTTGGAACAAAGCCATATTCTAAATATTCTCAGATATTGGAGAGCTCGCTCTTCCTCGCTCTCTTACCCTGCTAAAAAATAAGAGCACTGTATTGTGTGTCTGACGTATGTGTTACACACCTACACACACAGACTGAGTCACATCACACTGCTCCATTCACACCGTCTCCATTCCACTATCACCTGATCGCTTCCAGCAGGGTTTTTCATATTCTCTCACTGTGTGTTTGTCTGCCTGTGTGTGTCTGTCTGTATCCCATTGTGCATGAGTTTGTTCATGTGAGGGTGGAGAGGAGAGGTTTTTGTCTTTATCCACAGTGTAAGTTTGAACAGACACGCTCAGTTACCAACACTGGAGGGGCACAGGTCACCAAACTACTTTTTTTGCTACTGTGCATGTTTGAGAGGGTGTTTCAGTGAGTGATCGTGAGTCAGCAGTGTTTAAAAACATATTTTCTAGTGCAGTTCATATTTAGCACGAAGTCCATGTAGAAAGCTAAGGTTTAACTAGTTCAGTGCTTAATTTTAAGCTTTCTCTAAAGACATTCTCAGTGACATTTCAACAATTACCTAGTCTCTGGATACAAATGCCATAGATGTCATATAGTAAAATAGATATTGACTTTTACATAGTAAAACAGACTTCATTTTAATAACAATAATGTTATATGCTCTGCTTTAGTTTTTTTTGTCATTGAATGTCCAATTTAAGTCAGGCTAGGGAATGAAAATAGTGTGCGGTGCAGTTTCATGCTGACTTTAAATGCTGTATGATACGGACCACAGTCAGTTGGATGTGAAGGCAGTTGAATTGGCACAAAATGTCAGGAAGCAGGCGACTTTTTCCTGCTAACTCTGTCTCTGTCTCCCTTGTTCTGTCTCTCCAGGCTGGTAGATCTGGTCCTAAAGGCCATCATGAGAGCCATGTGGTTTTCCGGAGGGTTTCATTGGGTCCGTGTGAAGGGCCGGCCGGCGCTGCCCAGTGAAGCACCCATCCTCACAATGGCCCCTCACTCATCCTACTTTGACGCCATCCCTGTCACCATGACGATGGCCTCTATAGTGATGAAGACTGAGAGTAAAGACATTCCAGTCTGGGGCAGTGAGTTTTTAAAATTCTATAAATATACAAACATTTAAATTCTTTGGTTGGTTTAGTTCAACTTTGAGCTGCTTTGCCTTTGATAAATTGAGTTGTGCTCAGATAGTGATTTTTCTTTTTTCCTCTTTGTTAAGGGCTGTTGTTCAAAAGTTTGGGGTTGGTAAGATTTTTAAAACGTCTTTGAAAGAAGTCTCTTATGCTCATCAAGGCTGCATTTATTTGTACAAAAGTACAGTAAAAACAGTAATATTGTAAAATATTACAATTTAAAATAACTGTTTTCTATTTTAATATATTTTAAAATGTAATGTATTCCTGTGATGTAAAGCTAAATTTTCAGCATCATTACTCCAGTCTTTAGTGTCACACGATCCTTCAGAAATCAGTATAATATGCTGATTTGCTGCTCAAGTAACATTTATTATTAATATCAATGTTGAAAACTCAAGAGTTGAGTTGTGCTGTTTAATATTTTTTGTAGAAACCATAATACATTTTTTCAGGATTAGTTAATAAAAAGTTCAAAAGAACAGCATTTATTGCAAAATGGAAATCTTGTGTAACATCATAAATGCCTTTACTGTTACTTTGGTAACACTTTACAGTAAGGTACATTAGTTAACTACTTTAGTTAACATGAACTAAGAATGAACAATACTTCTACAGCATTTATTAATCTTAGTTAATGTTAATTTCAACATTTACTAATACATTATTAAAAGCAAAAGTTGTGCTTGTTAACATTAGTTAATGCACTGTGAATTAACATGAACTAACAGTGAACAACTGTATTTTCATTAACTAACATTAACAAAGATTGATAAATACTGTAATAAATGTTTTGTTAATAATACATTAACTAACATTAACTAATGGAACATTTATTGTAAAGTGTTACCGTTACTTTTGATCAATTTAGTGCATCCTTACTAAATACAAGTATTAATTTCTTTTTAAAAATCTTACTGATCCCAAACTTTTGAACTTTTCCAGTAGTAAATAATCTCATTTGTCTTTAAATGCATGTTCATTGCTGTGTGGTCATGTATAACTCAACGTGTCATACTCGTACACTGGCCCATGATAAATAAAATTCATGATCCGCTATTAATCTTTCTCCCAGTTCACTGAGAGCAGCTTAACTGGCATCAAGAGGAGATTTGTTGAGAAAACTTTGAATGAAAAAATATGGATTTGTTATAAATCTCAATTTATACTTGCCTACTAAAGCTATTAAGCTGTCTTTTTAAGAATTATTTTTTTGCTCTCTCTCTTTCCGTCCCTCTCAATTCTTTCTCTTACCTCACCCTTCACTCTTTCTCCATTTATAGCTCTTATCAAATTTATCCGGCCCGTGTTTGTGTCCCGCTCGGATCAGGATTCTCGGAGGAAGACTGTTGAGGAGATCAAACGCAGAGCTTGTTCTGATGGCGAATGGCCTCAGGTATCACACAAACACACACAGACTTATTGATATTTCACATCTAATGCAATGACATTCATACAGTATAAGTGTGTAAACACATAGTTAAACTACTTTATATCATGATTTGTGCCATGAGTGCAGTGCTGAGGTATTTCCCTCTGACTGTGGCCTGTTTTCAGATCATGATATTCCCGGAGGGCACATGCACCAATAGATCCTGTCTCATCGCATTTAAGCCCGGTATGTGCCCACCTCTGGTATCTGCTGACTAAACACACTTCCCATGCCCAGGATGTGTTTATGGGAGTTTTTTTCTTTTTTGAGTCTATCTAAGAAATTAACTTTTTGAGGAAAGTTCACTAATATTTTGTATGTGTGCGCTTCGGTGTTTGCTCTCTCTTTGTACCCTCTCTAATCTGCGGCCCATCATGGTTCACAGCGCTGAGAGTTCTGGTGATTGGCTTCCTCTTCCTGTGTACGCTGTGGATTCTGATAGTCTTTTCTCCTCAAATCCCCCTCTTCTCTGTTAGTCATTGTATTGGTTCTATTCCTCTAATCCCCCCCCCCTCCTCTCTCTATTGCTTGTGTATTTTCTTTTGTCTGGGTATCTCACTTTTCTCTCTACAACCTTTAATGTTGGAGCTCTCACTGTACCAAACAACATCAGCTGTGGTGGTGTGCAGCCAGATCGCTCTCCAAAACAACAACCAGGCCAGAGACTGAGTTTGAATGTGTATGGACAGTTCTGGTGCTTTTTGTGTTCAGTAATGTTTATAGGCAGGACCTAAAATGAACACTCGTCAAGTGCCAAACGTGAGGTTAAAATCAGCATTTGCATGTATATGAAACAATGAGACTCACCAGTTGACTGCTAACTTTTTTTAAATTAATTCTAGCAATGCCTGAGAACACAATGTGGTTTAATGCGGTTATCAAATTATTCAGACTGCGCTATATAAATCTTTATAAAGACTGTGCTATAAATCTTTTGTCAACAAGAGAGAAGCATTTCAAAAGAGAAGTTTCGCTGCGGTTTTCTGCCAAAATAAATGTAAAGGAAGAATAACCATAAATATTAGTATTGTGATTGTACTGTTTTTGTATAAAATATAATTAAAAATAATAAAAATACTAATTATTATTATTTTAGTTCAATAGTATTATCGTGATATTTCTTTATTGATTTGAGTAATTAAAAACAATAAATAATAATAATAATAATAACAAATTGCAATTAGATGCGTCTTCCCAATTTGTTCTGCTTGTTTTATTTATTTGTTTATTTATGAATGAATCAATGAATGAATGAAATGATGTTCAGTTTCATGCCAGTAACTTTTGTGATCAGATTTGAATTTGGGTCAGATTTTAAGCATATGGTGTCGTAATTACTTTCCATTTTCATTTTGTATGGCTTCCATTCATATATTAATGACTAAGGACATAGTCCATAGGAAAATATGGTTGAAAAATTGTTTTTTTAAAGATAAACTAATCAAACTTTATTGTATGGAAAGACAGAGGAGCTGCAGCTGTGTATGCAAAAAACATGGTGCATTTAGCATTTATTTACAGTAGTTCTGCTCTGTCTTAAAAGTACAGGCACACTTGCACTCATGTAAACGCAAGCTGTAGTCACGCACAGAAGACCTCATTGGTGAAGTATGCAAATGAAGGATGGGTGATTTGTATATCGTTGCATTCGTTGACTTGCTCTGTTTGAAAGTTGGGTTGAATTTGTCAAAGGTGAGTGAGTTCAGTCTTAGTGGATGGATTGCAGTTTCTATTAGCAGCGTGTAATAAGGAGCTGTTTGTAAGCTGAAGGGCGTCTCTCATCTCTCCACACCTTCCCAGAAGTGATGAGATCTAACTGGCACAGAGTGAGACTGAGGCTCAAAATATAGAGAAAAAGAGAGTGCAGTTGTTTTCTTTACTCTGTTGGAGTTCTGATAACAGAATTTAAAGGGATAGTTTGTTTGAATGATTGTTCAATACTTTACAAATATTCTGGCTAGAAGTTATTTCTACTACTGTTCAAAATGTGTTCACCAAGGCTGCAGTTATTTTTACTGCAAAAATACAGTAAAAACAGTAATATCGTCAAAATGTTCTTCAAATTTAAAATAGCTGTTCTATTTGAATATATTTTAAAATGTAATTTATTCCTGTGATCAAAGCTGAATTTTCAGCATCATTACTTCAGTCTTCAGTGTCACATGATCCTTCAGAAATCATTCTAACATGAAACATTTATTATTATTATCAATGTTGAAAACACTTCTTAAATTTTTGTTGAATTCCTTTTTTTTCAGGATTGTTTGATGAATAGAAAGTTAAGCATTTATTTGAAATAGAAATCTTTTGTAACATTATAATTATGATCATTTTAATGTGTCTTTTCTGAATAAAAGTATATGTACTGCATGTACATTTTTTTAAGTGGTGCCAGATAAAAAAAATTATCCTCTAAATAATGTATTATTATTCGTTTTATTATGTATCTTCTTGTAAAGCTTGAGTGCTATGCAAGTAATTGGTTGGCAGTCATATCTGAATATTAAAGACAATGAAGCTTGATGAGTTCAGTGGATTTGGATACTTGAGTTCACACCCACAGTCAAGCAGAAGGCTCAAGTTTCAGCACAGGCTTTAGTTTTAATGCCACACCTGACCCTCAGAGTGGAACGAGGTCAAAGCACAAGTCCTCTCGTTCTCACTCGTTTACCGTCCTTTTGTCCCTCCTTTACTGCAGGTGCGTTCATCCCTGGAGTTCCCGTGCAGCCTGTGTTGTTGCGGTATCCTAATGAGATGGTAAGAATAAGCTCTACGCCCAAACAGGGAGTGTCATTAGTGTCAATGTTGAGCCACCTGTACTTACTGTCTGCAGCTGTGCATTGTGTGCCTCCATTCATTAAGATTATGAATTTATTTTTTCACAGTCCAATCAAATGTTTTATACTTTTTTATCCACAGTCAAAACATTTTTGTTTGTCTATTATGTATTTTTTTCCTTCTCTCATGAATAATACAAGACCAGCAATCTCTTAGGGCACTTAGAGCCAAGGTTGAGCTTTCAGAGGAGCAAGGTCATGTTCAAGTGGTTAGGTCACATTTGGGGTTGTGTGTGTGCGGGATAGTTAGTTGTTTAGGTGGATACTGCCAGTATAACGTGTGTTTTTGTTTGAGATGCCAAGCCTATTCATTGCCTTCTTTCTCTTCCCACTTCCTTGACAGGATACAATCTCATGGACGTGGCAAGGGCCGGGAGCGTGAGTCTCTTGAGTTCCCTTAAAGGGATAGTAACCCAAAAATAAAAATTGTCATTATTTACTCACCTGCATGTCGTTCCACACCTATATGCCTTTCTTACTTCTGCTGAACACAAAGATATTTTGAAGAATGTTGGTAACCAAACGGTTTCAGTTCCCATTTACTTGCATTGTTTTTTTTTTGGTCCATACATTGAAAAGGGGTGTAGATTAATGGTCAAGATGTTATGTGCTTGTATATATTTGTGAATTAAAATCAAATCACATTATCTTTTACCAAACGGTTTCAGTTCCCATTTACTTACATTGGTTTTTTTTTGGTCCATACATTGAAAAGGGGTGTAGATTAATGGTTAAGATGTTATGTGCTTGTATATATTTGTGAATTAAAATCAAATCACATTATCTTTTTCAGGTTTAAGATTCTATGGCTCACATTATGTCAGCTACATAACTCCATAGAAATAGAGGTGAGAAATCACATTTTGGTATAAATATCATGTTATTTTAGTATATTTTTTATATGCTATTTTAAATAATAATAATACTGTATGTATGTAAATAAATAAACAAATACAACTTTTATTTTATATGTTCAGTTTAGGTTTTAGTCATTGTTCTTCATTTATATATTTTTTTATTATTTAGCTAATTATTATTATTATTATTATTATTATTATTATTATTAATATCTGTTTTACTCTTGGCAAATAACTTTAATTTCTAAAATTAACAAGGCAACATTTCTAATTTTCATCAGTTTTCCTCTAATTTTCATCATCTATTAATTTAATTTAATTTAATTTTTAAATGAAATTTACCTAAAATAGTTTTTAATATTTTTAGTTTTAGTTAACAGTAACAACACTTGTAAATATGCATAAATCAGATTTGATGATGATGAAAATGTTCTGTATGTCCAGTATCTTCCTACGTACACCCCGTCAGAGGAGGAGAAGAAGGATCCAGCCCTGTTCGCCAGCAATGTAAGACACATCATGGCCAAGTGAGTGGATTTTAAAGACTTGACCAAGTGTTTTTGTTGTGACGGATTTTAACAACACTTTATTTCATACTGATCAAAAGAAATTTGAGGTCTGTTTGTTTGGCTTTATATTTCTTCCTCTTACAAGGCCCAAGTGTCCTGTAATCAGTAATATAACATTGTGTGTGTTTTCTCCGTAGGGCGCTTGGGTTGCCCATTATTGATTACTCCTTTGAGGACTGCCAGCTTGCTATGGCCAAAGGGCCTCTGCGTTTACCCAGACACACCTGTTTGCTGGAGTTTGCCAGACTGGTACGACGTTTGGGGTAAGTAGAGCAGTAGTTTGAAGCATAATGTCTATATGATGACGTATGCTACCATTCAAAAGTTTGGGGTCAGAAAGATTTTTTATTTTTTTTTATGAAATTAAAGTTTATTCACCAGGGATGGATTAAATTGATTGAAAGTGAGAGTAAAGACATTTATGATGTTAATAAAATTCTGTTTAAAATAAATGCTGTTCTTTTGAACTTTCTATTCATTAAAGAATTCTTGAAAAAAATTGTATCACAGTTTCCACAAACATATTAAGCAGCAAAAACTGTTTGTTTCTGTTTTTTTTATTGAGCACCAAATCAGCATACTAGAATATTTCTGAAGGATCATGTGACACTGAAGACTGGAGTAATGATGCTGAAAATTCAGGAATAACATCACATATCACATGTATAAATGTGTTAATTATATTTAGATATAAAACATTTAAAATGGTAATGATATTTCACAATAGTTATTGTATATTAATATCTGCATATTATTATATTACTTTTTGATTTATTTTTGATCAAATAAATGGAGCTTTGGTGAGCTTAAGAGACTTCTTTCAAAAAGATTACAAAATTGTACTGACCTCAAACTTTTGAACTGTAATGTGTTATTCAGAGAATAAGTTTTTCATAATCTGTTACAGAATTTATTAAAATGTGTGTGGATCAGAATTTTAGTCCTTACAAAAGATAGAGAGCAAAAAGAAGAGAAAGCAAGCAAAGCAGAAAATGCAATACGAACAACCCAGTACCTTGCAAACACAACTTTGATAACATATTTTGTATCTGAGGATGTCCTGAGCTGGTGAGTGTCATTGATCAGACCAGGCTTCATTACGAGAACAACAGGAAGACAGTCAGTGGAACGTTTTCCTGTGGTTTCTTTAAGTTAAAAAAGTTGCTTTAAGTCGCTCTGTCAGATTAGAGCTTGTTAGGCCGAGAGAGTTCTTGCCATTTGTCTGTGCGGTGTGTTTCAGATGATCTCTGTGGCTTGGGCTTTGGGTAGTCTGTGGGTGTCTTGCAGACCAGCAGGCTGGGATGGTCTTTTGAAATAACAGCCTTGATCTCTCATTTTTTTTTAGGATGAAAGAATCAGTTCTCAGGTTTTTGTTGGGCAGCTGAATTACGTAGGTTATTAAGGTGAAGGACAGTTTAGAAGGTCTCAGGGACACGAGGTGTTGGTTTGGTAATTTGGGTGAATCAGTCATCCAGCCAATCAATCTGTCAGCACCGCTCGCCTCTACATATAATAGTATTGATCTGTGATACTTCAGTAGAGCCACACCATAAAGAATCATTATGTTCAGTAGTATGAGCAGCACTGATGAAAAATCAAACGCAGCCCTCTTGCCTGCCAGCATAATGAGAGGAAGTCAAACATTGGCTTTGTGTTTGCTTTGGATTAGAAGCTAAGGATTGATTTTACACTGGTGCTGCAGCAGTGAGCTGGTTTGTACTGATGCTGTTCTTCTGGCAGTGAACATGGTGCCCTCTAGTGAATATGATGAAGAAACACAGGCAACAAATGTTTGAAAAATGGCTTTCTGTGATTAAAGTCAAAATCAGAATTTATAACATTCAGTCAGCATCAAAGGTGTGGAAAAATGGCTTTGGCAAGTACAGTGCATAAAACCATTAATTGCCAGTTAATCTGTAACCCTTTTCCTTTTTTAAGGAGTGCAACATAATGCATGTGGTTCTACACTTGATATTGTGACAACAGTCTGAAATTTTAAGTCTAACTTTATTTATATATTATTATTATTATATTTACTAATTTTTCAATTTTTTAAAATCTGATGCAAGTAAAGTCAGCAAATAAAACCAGAGACATACACTACTTTAAAAGTTCGGATTCACTTAAAAATTTATTTGAAAGAAACTGACACTTACTTGCCTTTAAATTACAGTGATGATATGTACAGTAATACTCAAAAGTTTAGGTCCTGTAAGATTTTTTAAAATAAGTTTCTCATGCTTTGATCAATTAATTGTGATTAATGTTGTGAAATATTATTACAATTTAAAATAACTGTCTTTTATTTGGATTTATCTTATTTATTCCTTTGATGGTAAAGTTACATTTTCAGCAGTCATTACTCCAGTCTTCACTGTCACACGATCCTTCAGAAATCAGTAGGTATAATATACTGATTTGCTGCTCAAGAAACATTTATTATTAGTATTATTATCAATTTTGAAAACTGCTTAATGGTCTTACATACAGACCTTATGCATTCTTATGCGGTCAGTTTGTTAAGAGGTTCAGCTGAAGTTTTATCATGTATTCTGCAGTGTTTCCCGTATTATTGGTCTGTAGGATGCTTCTTCAAACTGTTCCCACAGCAGCTCAACATCTCAAACTTGGATTCATCCATCTATAATACTCTTTTTGTAGTCTTGTACCATCCAGTCTTTGTTCTTTGTGCCCTTCCTTTTGTTTTTTGTTTTTTTTAGGATTCTTTGATGAATAGAAAGTAAAAAAAACAGCATTTATTTGAAATAGAAATCTTTTGTAATATTTCTTTACTGTCACTTTTGATCAATTTAATACATTATTGCTAAATAAAAGTATGAATTAATAACAATAAAAAACATTACAGACCCCAAACATTTAACTGATAGTGTATATGCAAAGATTACTGTTTCTATTTCTATTCCCAAATATGATTTTCTTTAAACTCCTTCACAATGACATCTATACAGACCTTATGCATTCTTATGCAGTCAATTTGTTAAGAGGTTCAGCTGAAGTTTTATCATGTATTCTGCAGTGTTTCCCATGTTATTGGTCTGTAGGATGCTTCTTCAAACTGTTCCTACAGCAGCTCAACATCTCAAACTTGGATTCATCCATCTATAATACTCTTTTTGTAGTCTTGTATCATCCAGTCTTTGTTCTTTGTGCCCTTCCTTTTTTTTTTGCCAGTGTCAGATGTGACTATTTCTTTAAAAGTCTTAAAAGCCCAGCATCTCAGCGTCGTCTCTGCGCTGCTGGTGATGAAACCGCTGTTTAGTGTGTACTGTTCAATGCGGCTGCCAGCTGAGCTCCAGTCAGGGGTCTGTTTCTCAAACTAGAGACCCTGATGTTCTCGTCCTCTTGTTATTCTGGGTCGTCCACTTCTCTCCCTGTGCTGCTTAGATTCAGTTTGCTTTCTTCTTTCAAGACAGTAGCTCATTGTACAACCTTCATCTCTCAAAATAACAATTCACTGAGTTTCTAGAGAAATTTCTTTTTGGAAACCTCTTGCAAGAAATGCAAGTGTACTCAATACTTTCAAAGAGATTACATTGTTACAGTTCATTAGACAACACAAGGATTTGAGTACTCACACAAGTATTCTTGACTGCCAAATTAGTATATTTTAATATTTTCACCAGCCATTTGCACATTTGGAAAATAATTAATGGTGGATTTTATTTTGTTGTCTGTCAGCCTGAAGACGGGGGTCACTGATGAAGTCCTGCACGAGGAAGCCTTTAAGGTCCGTAAGCTGTGTGGAAGCAGACTGGACGTGGAGGGATTTTCTCAGTACCTCAACCAACCCTTGACAGAAGCAGTCCAGGACATCTTCTCACTTTTTGAGGAGGTTAAACATTTCTCAACGTATCTTTATTAAAGCATGACTGAGCAGAAAACAAATTAACTTTGCCTTTCAAACACATCAGTTGTAATCCGTTATGTGTTTCTATCATGTCTGTCTGATTGTGATGACATCTGAATGAATTGTTTCCAGCACGGGAAGATGGATGTGAGAGAGTATGTCATCGCCTTGTCTGTGGTTTGTAGACCTTTCAGATATCTGGAGACCATTAAACTGGCCTTCAGGGTGAGTTGGGTTTCTACAAGCTCTCATTGTTTCATATAGACAAACTTGAGTTTATATGAGTCAGAATCTCACACATTCATTGTATGCTATATTATGATTAATAGATTATAGTTCTTAATATTTATTTAGACATAATTAATTTTTTAGGTCTTGATGGTAAGGAAAGATGGATGTTCATTTGAAATGTTGTCTTCTGTCCAGATGTTTGAAGCACAGGAGGATGGAGCAGTTGTAGAAGATGAGTTGGCCGTCGTTCTGAAAACCGCTCTGGGAATTGGAGATTTTGTTGTTTGCGATCTCTTCAGGGCCATAGATTGTCAAGACAAAGGAAAGATCACATTTGGTAGGTCCATTTACATTGGTTTACATGTTGAATGTGATTTAGCTGTTAGATGTGCTGGCATTATAATAAACCCAAAATATCAACAAGGAAATTAAAACCTCTATGCGACTATGAAACCTCTATAAACCTTGTGCTCTGTTGAGATCGCCTTCACTTCCTCATTGTTTGTGGTCACATTAACCAAAATTAAAACGTTATTTAAATGAATCATTCTGGTCCTTTATAATTAAAAAATAATTTGAAATAGTTGTAAAACACTTGCCTTTGTGCCTAACAACTCCCTTTAGCTGTTCTAAAATCACTGTAAACCACAGCTTTATGGGGCTTAGTGCTTTATAATAATTATGAAATTATAATGAATTAGAATGAAATTCCCTAATTAAGACAACATATAATGGCATTTACACATTAATTTTAAGTAAAATAACATTGTGAAACAATGTTAAACAACATAAAATTACATTGTAAAATAACGTTGTGGAACATTGTGGTTTTGGACATTTAATTGCATGTTAATTGCAATTAAATGAAAATGGATTATAGTTTAAATCTATATTAAATTCAGATAGCTGAACTTAGAGTGCTTTTTTTTTTTTTTGGCCGTAAATAAGAACATATTTCTTCATGATTAATTCTCTTGTCTTTGAAATATGGTTAAAGTGTACTGCCCAATATAATGACAAGCATTAAAATATACTTTAATATAATTTCTGTTAAAACTAGTATGTCATGTATTTAAATATATTTACATATTTGTAATAAAGAATTTGCAATTATATTTGAAATGTATTACCTCAATGTAATATCGAATAACCAGCTACAGTTGTAGACAGGGGCGTAAATTACGCGGGGGACGTGTCCCCCCCACTTTTAATATCACGTAAATTCGTCCCCCGCACTTTTTCGGGCAAGTGTGTTCGCATAGAGGTTTTCAAGAGCCGGTGTGAATAAATATAGATTTAAATTCAAAGAGACAGGATAGTCTGTGCATGATCTGATGTTTTATTCGGACACAGAATAAGCCGAGATGAACATCGCGGAGGGCAAAACACTCCATGCAGTGTATGTTTCATTCATACTCAAAGCCCCAGCAGTTATCTGATTTCTAAGTCAGTTAAAAGCTAGAAATTAGAGAACAATTAAAGTTGCCTATACACCAGTCAAAAGTTTTTGAACAGTAAGATTTTTTATGTTTTTTAAAGAAGTCTCTTCTGTTCACCAAGCCTGCATTTATTTGATAATAAATATCAAATAAATATTTGATATTTATATTTATTTGAATATAAATTAAAAAAAAAAATTATGTAGTAAATAGATACCCGATTACTATGAGTTTGCATCAAGTTGTAGTAATGTTAATTCTCTCATATCTTTGGTATTTGTTGCTTTGTAAACATGCTGTGTGTTTGTGGCAGATGATTTTTGCCGGTTTCTGGAGAATTGTCCTGATTTTGTGGAGCAGTACCACTGTCTCCATGAGCCGATCCCTCAACCCTCCAGAGAATCCACATCACCCTCTTCAACTAACGGCTTCTGTGCTGACTTCAGCCCTCGAGATCCCAGCACTCGCAGCGCTGCACACAGCAAGAAACAGGACTAAAAGCAGCTTTTACTATCACAGCCTTTGTGTGTGCATGTGGGTGTACTTCTGTCTGCAGGAGAGGTGATGACAGACGAAATCTTGAAGTTGAATTGGAATTTGCATCTGGGTACATTACCCTAGGGAGTCTTCCAGAGTTCTGTTCAAAATCCTTCAGTCATTTATTTTTTTATGCCCTCGAAGAACCTGTCTTCAAGGCAGTTAGTTTTCTGACAGATCTTACAAATGGAAACAAATGACTTAATTTGTATATCTTTTTCTTGACATTTTAATAGATTTTCTATATAAAGTGTTGTTTGCTTTATAACACAAGAGTGTGGTTTTAATATACGCAAAACAACAAAAGTCTTGGCTGATGTTCTTCAGGGTGTTGAGGTGCAATATTAAGGTGATATTTCAACATGTACCACCACATGCTTCACACAAATATTAGTATAAAGAAAATTTGAGTGAACCTGTGAAAGTCTCAGAGTGGGTTTTAGATGAAAGGAATTTTTCAGAAAATCCTCTGTTGTGCTAGATAATTAAAGATATCTGACAAACAAATTCACACTATTTGTGATGGATTTGTGTTTAAGAACATAATAATAATACTGGTAGCCTGTCCTGTTTAAAATCACTAGTGTTGTCAGTATGATTCAGTATATATCCAATTTTTATAATAGTTTATCCGTAATGAACTCAAATCCTTTCCATGAAAACAAGAACAGTGTTTAATAATAATAAAAAAATAAATAAAAAATACGAGCAAATATTTTCTGATACAAGACTAAAATTTTCGAATCCTTCAAATATTTTTTTTTATTATATAATAAAATTTTTATATTTATTATAATAATACAATAAAAAGCATTTTTCTTTTATATGGTTTTATTTTTTTTCCCTACAATGACTCTTCTGTGCCTTTTCACTTTTGTATGGGGGAAATAATATAATTTTTTTGTTGTTTTTTTTTGTTAGTGATATATATTAAAAGACTGATATGCAACAGGCGACCTAACTACTGACAATTAGCTTTTGACAACTCAAAAGTAAGAACAAATGAAGAACAGACCACATTTCTACAATAAACTCTCCTGTAAATCTCAGAACAGTGTAGTTCTCCAACACAAGGGGGCGCAATATAGCCACAAGAATCGAGAGAATCATCTTAGGACATTGTGCTGGTTCAGGCAATTGTTTGTGATGGTATTTTAGAGAATGTTTCAGCTTCTGATTTTGTAGGACATTATAGGATATGGCTTTTGGGAGCCCTTTCTGAAATAGGAAATCATAGACTCACTGAGCCTGAGCATTATTACAATTGAATGTTTATAAATAAGTTATCGGACATGGTACTATGGTAATACCATATTTAATTTATTTAGATGTACAATCTAAGCACGTTATAAGGGCTGTCTTGGGTGGGTTTTGTGAGAGGTATTAGAGTAAATATTGGTGTCGATTTTTAAAACAAAATTCCAGCGTGTAATTTTTAACCTGACCTGAATTTGTTACTCATTATTCTCTTATATGACCGTTTTGATTTTCACATGTTAGGCTTTCACATTCACTCAGACAGCTTCCCATTATCTTTCTGGGATACATTTTTTTTTGGCTCTTGCTCTATTTTTTCTTCCCTCACCCACCTTTCACTCCTCTCTGATGTCACCTAAACCTACAATGTAAACACATGATGTCATTTGTTGGAGAAACTTACATAAAAGAGTATCGCTGCACCACAGGGTGGCGCTATGACATTAAAAAAACGCCCCGAATCATCTGGATATACTGTGAGGAAAAGCATTACATCACCCCGTTGTAAAAATAAACTAAGAATTGCTTCTTGGGTTCTTGAAAGTGGAGCATTTTGCCACCTGTGTCCAAGCTGTTAATAGATAATAACATCATCTGAAACAGCTCATGGAAAGCAGGATTTGACACTCGGATGGACTGAATGGATGAAGTTGCTATGCAACCTGGTCATCTTAATTAGCCAAAGTGCCCTTGAAATTCTCCTCAGTTGTAGGCTAATTCTATGTTCTTCGCCTTGCTTTTATATGAATGGACGGAGCGGAGTCACATTTGTATGGTCTGAATTGCGCCTATATAGACAGAAATTGTGAATTAGTCAAAGGTGATTTCTGTAAGGCTTTTTCAGCTCGTTCATTATGGTCAAGGTAGTTTTCGTACAATCTGTGGATTGAGACGTAGGCTAGCCGCTAGCCTATATGAGGACTCGGGACTATTCAGAGCTTTTGCACTCAGTTCATGCAAAATACTTCAGTCTTGTTGAGATCTTAATGACTTATCTTTCTGGGATTGTAAAACAGATTGTGTGAAGTTATTGATTCAATATGTGAATTAGTAGCCTATGTCCAAACTGGAATATCTGCAAAAAAAAAAAAAAGTCGCCCAATGTGGGATCTAAAGCTTCTAAAATAACATGACAGTATCACAATCAATCAGAACGAATGACCGCATTTACATCTGAATCCACACGTGTGTAGTCCTATCAGTCCGACCCCAAGACATGTCCATCCTTATGGCGTGCATATTAGCCTATGATAATGATATGGAATATGGAGGGTGACATTAGGAAAGCATACGTTTCATCTCGTCTGTCTGTCCTTCTCCATGTATAATCACTCTCTGCCTGTGTTTGATGAGCAGGGAGAATTTCATTAAACCGCCTATCTGGACTTGTCTCATTCGCCGTGCCTCGGGCTTCCTCCAAGGATCTGCCAACGTATAGGTCTATGTGTGTGCCGCTATTCATATATGCAAACATTTCTGTCAAATCTCTCAGCACCTGACAGCAGTGTGAACCCAATAAACCAGAGGCAGATAAGAGCTGGCGTCAGTAGGCAGAACTAATATTATTTGTGCAGTGGAAAGCGTTTATCTGTCACAGACTGAAAATTGATGGTTTTGTGTCACTTTTGTTTAATAATGATGTGGTAATCTCAGTATGCCCACTGGCTCGGGCTCTATTAAAGTTCAAAAGATTATCCAAATTAAAATCTCATTTGAAATATTGCTTTTTGCCAATATTTTGACTAGAGGTGGATTCTATTGGATGTGATATTTCTCACTTAGCAATCCAATTAACATTTTATGTTTGACAAACTGCAACGGTGGCAAATAGGAACGAGGCTGCGAGACTGTGAAATCTTATAATGGGGCTTTCAAATATACTGAAGTTGCTGCAATAAAACTTTTTTTAATTTCTCGACAGGCGAGATTTGAATATGAAAAAGAAAAACTGAAATATCACATGGTCTTAAGTATTCAGACCCTTTGCTGTGACACTCATATATTTAACTCAGGTGCTGTCCATTTGTTCTGATCATCCTTGAGATGGTTCTACACCTTCATTTGAGTCCAGCTGTGTTTGATTATACTGATTGGACTTGATTAGGAAAGCCACACACCTGTCTATATAAGACCTTACAGCTCACAGTGCATGTCAGAGCAAATGAGAATCATGAGGTCAAAGGAATTGCCTGAAGAGCTCAGAGACAGAATTGTGGCAAGGCACAGATCTGGCCAAGGTTACAAAAAAATTTCTGTTGCACTTAAGGTTCCTAAGAGCACAGTGGCCTCCATAATCCTTAAATGGAAGACGTTTGGGACGGCCAGAACCCTTCCTAGAGCTGGCCGTCTGGCCAAACTGAGCTATCGGGGGAGAAGAGCCTTGGTGAGAGAGGTAAAGAAGAACCCAAAGATCACTGTGGCTGAGCTCCAGAGATGCAGTCGGGGGATGGGAGAAAGTTGTAGAAAGTCAACTATCACTGCAGCCCTCCACCAGTCGGGGCTTTATGGCAGAGTGGCCCGACGGAAGCCTCTCCTCAGTTCAAGACACATGAAAGCCCGCATGGAGTTTGCTAAAAAAACACCTGAAGGACTCCAAGATGGTGAGAAATAAGATTCTCTGGTCTGATGAGACCAAGATAGAACTTTTTGGCCTTAATTCTAAGCGGTATGTGTGGAGAAAACCAGGCACCTGTCCAATACAGTCCCAACAGTGAAGCATGGTGGTGGCAGCATCATGCTGTGGGGTTGTTTTTCAGCTGCAGGGACAGGACGACTGGTTGCAATCGAGGGAAAGTTGAATGCGGCCAAGTACAGGGATATCCTGGATGAAAACCTTCTCCAGAGTGCTCAGGACCTCAGACTGGGCCGAAGGTTTACCTTCCAACAAGACAATGACCCTAAGCACACAGCTAAAATAACGAAGGAGTGGCTTCACAACAACTCTGTGACTGTTCTTGAATGGCTCAGCCAGAGCCCTGACTTAAACCCAATTGAGCATCTCTGGAGAGACCTAAAAGTGGCTGTCCACCAACGTTTACCATCCAACCTGGCAGAACTGGAGAGGATCTGCAAGGAGGAATGGCAGAGGATCGCCAAATCCAGGTGTGAAAAACTTGTTGCATCTTTCCCAAAAAGACTCATGGCTGTATTAGATCAAAAGGGTGCTTCTACTAAATACTGAGCAAAGGGTCTGAATACTTAGGACCATGTGGTATTTCAGTTTTTCTTTTTTAATAAATCTGCAAAAATGTCAACAATTCTGTGTTTTTCTGTCAATATGGGGTGCTGTGTGTACATTAATGAGGAAAAAAAATTAACTTAAATGATTTTAGCAAATGGCTGCAATATAACAAAGAGTGAAAAATTTAAGGGGGTCTGAATACATGATAAACTATATATAATATAAATAAATTATAATTAAACCAAAAGAGACTATTTTGTGAAACACAGCAGCAGCTAATAAAAAACAACAACAAAAAAAAACATACACTACCAGTCAAATATTTGTACACATAGACTCTAATTTTCCACAATATAAAGTTGTCAGAAATGGGACAACTGGAAATATGGGAATGTTGATTTTAAATGTTTAGTTTTGAAATGTTGTTGTATGCATTTGTCATTTTTATTTCATTTCTTTTATTTTCTTAAATGTGTATATATATAATATTTATAGAGTTTTAGCTTTCAGTTTTAATTACTTTTTCTTATTTGTAAGTCGCTTTGGATAAAAGCGTCTGCTAAATGACTAAAAGTAAAGTAAAAGTAAATATATGTATATATATATATATATA